GATTCTTTATCTGTATTATATAATTTCTAATTTATAAATGGCACCCACAAATTTCTCAAGTTATTTGGTTCTGAGAGCATGCAAGGCGTGGTCTATAGAAACCAGGGATATAACAAAAAAGGGTGGACTATGATATTAAGATTTTGAATTTATGCAAAAGACGTGGTAAATTATGTTCATTACACCAAATCTAAGTTTTAATCATAGACGACAACTAAATTTTATCATATGAACACTTTATTCAGCTGCTTATATAAGCCATCACAAAGTTGCGAAACATCTGATTGGTTTAATTTTAATGCAGTCAGGACTCTGATTAAATCTTATGTTTAGCACTGTTTTATCTGTCTATAAATTTTGGGAGAGTTTATGATTTTTAATTATTTGTGTTGTGAGCTATGTTGATCAGATTGTTTCCCTAAAAGATATGTTCAGGTGTTGTATGTCGATTATGTAAAGAAACTGCATAGTTTTGTGAACGTAATACGACTGTTCTATTGGATAGACCGACCTCTATTATTGGTCGGGTTGGTTGCAGATTTGTTTTCTAATTTATGTTTTTAATTTCGCAAATTTCTTGGTGAGTGAAGAAGGTGTTTGAATTCGATACTGTGTGGCTATAAACCTGATAACCTGTTATGTTTGTAAGCTTGGTCTGTCATGTAGGCCACCTTCGCGTTTGCCTGGCACACCAAAGTGTTGAAAAATCGGTACTTTACAGCAGCAGCAAATACATTTTAATGTTCAAATATGTAAGCCGCGCATGCGCGGCTTGATTTTCGACTCAGCTAGATCAGCTCAACGATGCCGCGCGTATCATCAATCATTGATCGTATCATGATAGACCAATTATATTTAAAATACTTACAGATAATATACCTCCTACCACGCATGTTGCAACTCCTAAGCTAGCTGTACCTGTAACCACAGTTTTGTTTGGCTGCAAAAATGGTAAAAAACCCAAGTGATCAATTTTGGGCAAGTATAAAAACAATATAAGTCTTATTCTAGTTTTGTCCATTCAACATTATTAATGGATTTGATTAACGATGTCAACCCTTCCAGATCGTTGCTCTGCAAGTCGCAAGAATGCTAGTTTGCGCAGCGCGTCGAAGCGGCGCGAAGTCCTCCAATTAATGCATTAACCCAACGCGCTACAAAACTAGCTTTGTAAAATTTGCATTGGGCTAATATTTTGAGCATTAAAAATAAGTAAATTCAAACATTCAATACACGCTTCGACATTGATTCACGATGTCAATCCTTCGCAGCTCGGTGAGGCACAGTGGTGCATCTCGCCGATCTACCGAAGTGGTTGCGAGAAGCATTATTTGATGCGCGCGCGACCCAGTAGTGCATCACGCTACAAGCTTCAACATTAAAGTATAATATATATCAAACAAAATGTACATTTACCTCTTTCAAACAAAAATAAGTGACAAAATAATTGTAGGTTCATAACCTACCAAAACGTTGTATCACGTCGCAACCCTCATTGTCTTTAAGCGCGATGCGTTACTGTGCCGCGCCGAGCACTCGATTATGCTTCTCGCTAGATCGGCGATGAATTAACATTGATAAAAGGCTCTTTTCCTTTATATTTTGTTCTGTAAGGTGACAAGGGATAATAGTTTAATTTGAATAAACCGTTTAAGAATTGTAATTACAATATCTCAGAGTTCCTCAAATACTAAGTCAATAATTCGAATGGTTCTTTAACTGTGAACTTTAACTGCAAAATCAGTTCTTCTCAAATCAAAAAGTGTCACATCCCTTCAATATCTCCACTCTTAAGTATCCCCAGAAAGTATTAACAATCTCCCACTCTTCCGAGCAATCTATAAACAATTTCCTAAACAATCCTTCCAATAATCATAACAGAGGTGTAAAATTGAACTCTCTGATAACCAAAACAGAGATGTTAAAATAAACTCTCTGCTCGTCCAAAACTCTATGTGCTAAATATTTCCTTAACTCTCCTGCTATAGCCAAAACAGAGGTGTAAAATTGAACTCTCTGATAACCAAAACAGAGATGTTAAAATAAACTTTCTGTTTCCCTAAAACTCTCTGCTCTTAACAATATCTTTAACTATCCTCCTTGTAACTAAAACAGAGGTGTTAAACTAAACTCTCTGCACTACCCTGCTGTACTAAATGTCGTACAAAAATATATGCCCTAAAATACTACCCTTAAATACTGGACTAATACTGTCATGCATATAAACTTAAGATATAAAACCCAACGCCAATCTATATAAGAATCTAAACCGTCCATCGAGTTCCTTGCCATTAGGGCTCCACTTCTCGCGATCTCCTCTGCGCGTCCCTTCGTCTTATCTCTGCATTCTCCTCTCTCCACTTCCTTCTTTTCGGTCCTTTCTATTCATTGTTGTAATAAAGGGTTAGATTATGATCAAAATAGTTATTTTGGAAAATGCCAAAATGACCCTACAACATATCCTCCCCACAAAATTGTGAGGAAGTTTTCCGCTGCTTTGCAGAGGATAACTTCACAAATTATGAATCAGAGATATCACTTGATATGCAATAAAACGACTGTATTCTTTTTTGTACAATTGCACAAATTGTTAAAAACTATAGAAGCATACAATTGCATGCGACTATTACTAAATTGCTACATCAAGATTGTTCAAGAACCATAATCTCCTCATCAGTTCACCTAACTCTTCTTCTACCAGTCCATCCGTCATATCTTCTTCATCCTCCCATAACTCCCTCACTATATCTATTAAACTTCTACAGCCACGGGAGAATTCCCCCGCCCTGTTCTTTATGTAAAACTCTAGCATCTTCTTCCTCTCCTTCGATCCTGTTGTTATCGTCGCGTTTCCATTCCACCACTGCTCTATCCTCCTCAGTTATCCCGTAGCACACATCTTTGGCCGTCAATTCCACTCTCAGTGCTAGTCTATTCAAGACTCGGATGAAATCCTCCTTGTCTCCAACAAATACTCCCAACTCCGTACTGATTATTTCTGATACTTGCTGCCTTGCCTTAGAGGGAATTCCCTTGGGCAAGGTAGCCGCATTGAAGTCCATCTCCGCTCCCTCGACTTTTGCCTCTTTCAGCCTCCCCATAAACACTGGCTCTGGTCTTATCGTGCTCCTTGCTCCGATGTGCTTGCTCCAATCATCTATACTTTTGGGCAAATCCCCTAAGTATAGTCCCCGTTCTCCAATTTGCCTAGGAATCTTAGATAATTGAATCCTGATGTTTTCTTTCTGTCTTTCCCTGCATCTTTCTTCAGTTTCTTTTCGCATGACCTCCTGCTGTTTTCTCATCATTTCCACTCTTAATTAAATCCGAGGAGAAAGTACGAACTCAGACCGAGAAGGAATAAACCGAAGTACGTTTAGTACAGGTGAGATTCCTGGAATGACTTTATTTAAGTAAGATAGCCTGGAAAGGTTATTTACGTGAGATATATATATTAATTATTGTGCACAATGGTATTTTGTTTAAATATTTACAACAATATCACGGTATCCGGAATTTGAACAGTATATTGTAAAGATAGACCTTGTTGTTGCCCTTTTCGTTTTAACAGTCATATTGTATTACTAGGGCCCTGAGTGTGGATTCCTACCGTATTCGGGAGATTGATCACCACTTTTTTACATTAAGTTTGAATCATAACAACACTTTACTTAAAGTAATACTAATCTTGACATCAATTAGAACATGGTTATTTTCAACTTGGTGATGACATTGATTTTGGGCAGCTTTGGTGCCAGTTTTAATAGCAAGAGAGACACATTTTTTTTTTCAATTTTATGTGGGTTTTAAAAAACACTTTGTAGGTAGATTTGATATATATTAGAATTTGTAAAGTTATCCATTGCAATTGCAACGGGAGAACTTCCACAAAATTTTGTGGGGAGGATAACCCATCGTCGTTTCACGATAGTGACCTTGTAGAGTTTTTACGATACAGGGGCCGGAGCCGCGCACTCGTTTGTAGGTTTACAACCTACCAGGACGCGCGCCGAGTTGGAACAGATATTTTACGAGTATCACCCGTTAACGCACTCGTGCGCGGCGGGTCATACAACCAATGACAACCTACCAGGACGCGCGCCGAGTTGGACTCGTCGACGGTCCTGTCGACGGTCCTGTAATATTTGAAACAAATATTTTACGAGTATAACCCGTTAACGAAATAACAAACTTCTAAACAAATATTTGTATGAAGTTGCCAAAATTATACATTTTCATATCAGCTCGAACATTATAGACCAATATTAGAAACGAACATCACCTAATATATAGTAGAATTATTATTTGTTATTATATTATTAATTTTCAACTAAAATGAATCATTGCACCTCAGCTTTCAATCGACAATCGAATTATATTAATGATGTACAATAAATATTATAAATAAGTAACTCCCGCAATCAGACAAGCGAATGAGCTTTAAAAATTCAAATTAAATCTTTACAGCATGGGCAGAATATTTTCGGTCATCACCAGTACCTAATAAAAATATTTGAATTGCATAGGATCCTCGATGGTGTGCATATGTGTTGGGATTACATTCCATAATCGAGGTCCAGTGACTGCAAATGAGTTGTCATGTAGTGCTTGATTACGTTGACTGCTGGACTTAGCTATACTGGGCAGTGGACAATTTCCGTTACCTCTGTATTTTGCTCTGCCAATTGCAACACTTGAATTACTTTATTGTATATATACTGTTTGACAATTCTTACTACGTTGTGAAGCCCCAACTATTAGTGAATAAACTAGTCCCTGCTTCCTCATTTAAACCTGTAGTTATAGTTCATTTTGAGAATTTGTAATTATCAATTAACTCTATTGGTCATATTTTTTGCTGTTCTATGTTTTACTTTCGTCATCTATTTTTTGTATCCATTGTATTTGCTATTTGTCTCTGGGACTGGGTAGTATTGGTTGCGATAAGTGGAATCATTGATCTTGTGATAAGCAAGAATATAATCAGTCCTATCTAAAACTAACAATTCTAGTGATGATCCCGAAGGTGAGAGTTCCTGCCAATTTTGGAAGAGAATTGATAAACTCCCCAGTGCATGGAAACCTGGTGCTGAATCTGAGAGATGGATCAGTGTTGAGGGTAAACTCTGTTATAATGTCCCTTAACAGTCCTGTTATTGGTAATTTCACCACCAACCTTTGTCAGGTACTGAGAGAGAATAATATGAAGATTTTGAATATTTTGTTATAAAATTCAATTTATTAGATAAAGTTATTGCAGTTCAGATAATATAACTGGATTCAAATTTAATGTTTCCTATTTCAGTCTTCCCACGAGATGGATGACTTTAGTGTTGAAGCAGTACATTGTTTTGTTGATGCTATGTACTCTGGTGAATCTGAGATGCTGAACAGATTAAACTTTGAGGACGTTAACAAGATGGCCCATGTTTTCGAAGTGAGCTGGTTTAGAAAGAAATGTTTGAAGTTCTTTAAAACAGATGTTCTGAACTTTGAGAACAATTCATATGAGGAGATTCTGTTTGCCTGTGAGATTGCCAGTCGAGCATACTTCAATCTGAAACAAAGCAAGTTTGTGGATCTATTTGTCAGAAACATGACGACCAGGAACATAGGAAAAAGAGTATTTTTACGGAAATACATGTCTAACTTTGATGAGCTGTCAAAACGTCAGATCAACATGGCAGTTCAGATAGCCGGGAGAGAATTAAACATTGTGTTTGATTGTTTAGTGAGTTATCTCACGTTTGGGTTAAAATACACAGGATTTGATGAGAACTCTTTGTATTTACTCGAACAAGTAGATATGAGACTATTTCAGCAAAGATATCCGGACCAGTTTGTTGAAGTAGTTGACCTGATTACTGAACTGTCGGGAGGATCTGAGGGTGGTCAAGTGAAAGAGTTGGTAGAAAAGGTGGTCAAGTTGAGGAGTGAAGTTGTAGCTGGTGGTTCTGATGAGGTGCTAGAAGACAGTAAATGTAGTGGAGATTCTGAAGAAAGTGATGATGAAGATTTACTTGAGGGTTGTAGACACGTTGCCACTCAAACTGAGGAGGCTAAAACAGGTAAATGGAATGTTTATTGTTTAAGGGGGCAGATAAATTACGAACACATTGAATTAAAATAATATGATGATGATGAGCAATTGGTAGGTAAGTTCACCCTTCCAATTTAAGTGGGCAGGGGGGGGGGGGGGGTCTTCATGGAAATTTTCTCAAAATCGACTTTTTAGTTGTTTTTGATAGACTACAGGGGAGTAATATCTATCAGATGCTTTTGATCCCGTGGAAAAATATCGTTCCTATCCGAAATTATTGTCAGCGTGTGTGTTTAATTGTATTGCGCGACCAATTTTTGATCGGGTGCCCTAAAAATCGAGTCTAAAAATCTTCTATATTTTTTGAGCAATCATCCTGAAACTATCAGGATATGTTCTAGGGATCATTTTGAAGAGATGAGCCAAACAGAATTTATTCGACTTTGAAAATCTTGGACCTCGAAAAATCATCAAAAAACGAGGTCCAAGATTTTCAAAATCAAATAAAAAATTTTAAAGGCCTGCGCCTTCAATCTCAAAATTCTGTAGATAGATATTACTCTCCTCTATCAGAAACAACTAAAAAGTTGATTTTGAGAAAATTTCCATGAAGAATTTCCATGCCCCTTTAAATTGGAAGGGTGAACTTACCTACTTATTGCTAATCATCATCATATATTATTTTAATTCAATATGTTCGTAATTTGTCTGATAATTGTGCTTTATTAAATAAGTTTTAATTTAATATGTTCGTAATTTGTCTGCTAATTTTGTTTTTTATTAAAATCATTTGCCGATTGGTTATGTCCTCTAATTATCACATTGTTGCTTAGTTTTTAACACTTGTTCGTAATTTCCATGTTAATAAAATAATACGACACCAACAGGACCCTACCGATACACTAGAGAGGAGATGATAGATAAAATCGTACCTGATCTACCCTTGTCTTACTACTACCCGAAGTCCTACTGTATTATGGATAGTCCTATTCTTCCTAATTTTGAAGAAGAACCACCAATGCCAAGGTAATCAATTCGTATTCAAGGAAAACTAAAGATATAGCGAACAGTTGGTTTATCCGATTAAAAGTTTAAATATTTAAACAAGGTGCCACTAATTTTAAAACACACTTTTTGTTGGGGACCGGCCCGAAGTTTACTCATTTAAAATAGAGCTTATTTAACAAACATAGCTGAGCATAGTTAAAGTTGCCTTGAGGATTGTAAAGTTGAAATTATCATATTAATGCACTTTCTGAGTTGTAAGAGTGGAAACAGGCGCATAACTACAGCTAGCTAGCTAGCTATTTCAAAGTTTCAAAATTTTATTTTTACGACTGTTATCAGTCGCATAGCATCATGCCGTTGTTGCTGGTGAATTGTTGACAGTGTAACTGAGATGTTATGCAGTGAAATTGATTCGGTGATGCTTGCAGGCGTGCTTATGGTATTAATACGCGGTTGTTATCAGCATTACGGTTGATGTTGCGCTTTGATTTCCTTAGTCCCGTTATATCGTATAACATAAAGTTAGGCCATTCGTTTGCAATGCCCTTGTTTTGCTGATCAATAAGCATGTTTTTTGTGCACCTTTTGTAGATGTTAAGGTTGAAGAGACTGGGCAAAGAAGTTGCTGCGACACTGTATCTGTTTATTGCTAATAGTGGACCTTTATAGAATTATACTTAAGGGGGCCGGGGGGGGTCTTCATCAAAATTCTCTCGAAATCGAGTTTATAGTTGTTTCTGATAGAGGGGAGTGATATCTATCAGCTGCTTTTGGTCCCATGGAAAAATATTGTTCCTAGCCGAAATTATCGCCGGTCAAAGGTCAGCGCTTGTGTGTAATTGTATTGCGCGAGCAATTTTCAATCGCGCGTTCTTAAAATCGAGTCTAAAAATCTATCTTCTCCTACATTTTTTGAGCAATCACCCTCAAACTTTCAGGATATGTTCTTAGGATCAGTTAGAAGAGAACTCTAGAGCCAGAATTTGGAGATAGGCCTTTAAAGATTTTTAATTCGATTTTGAAAATCTTGGACCTCTAAAAATCAAGGTCCAAGATTTTCCAAATCGAATTAAAAATCTTTAAAGGCCTATCTCAAAATTCTGGCTCTAGAGTTCTCTTCTAACTGATCCTAAGAACATATCCTGAAAGTTTTAGGGTGATTGCTCAAAAAATGTAGGAGAAGATAGATTTTTAGACTCGATTTTCAGAACGCGCGATTGAAAATCGCTCGCGCAATACAATTACACATAAGCGCTGACCTTTGGCCGGCGATAATTTCGGCTAGGAACAATATTTTTCCATGGGATTAAAAGCAGCTGATAGATATCACTCCCCTCTATCAGAAACAACTATAAACTCGATTTCGAGAGAATTTTGATGAAGACCCCCCCCGGCCCCCTTAAGAGCTTAAGTACTTAAAACTCGAGCTTATTCAAGAGTATGGAGTGATCCACAAGGTCAAAGGCTTTGCTAAAGTCAATCAAAAGAAGCAGGGTGACCATATTGATTTTCAAAGTATATTGTAGGTATCTAAGAAATATCAAGCAGAGATATCGGTCTGTAATTCAGTTTTAGATCCACCTTTATGTACAGGAACTACTTTTGCCGTTTTCAAGGCTGGGGGGAAGAACAAGCTGTTCGAACGAGCTGTTCGAACGAGCTGTTCGAACAAGCTGTTCGAACGAGCTGTTCGAACGAGCTGTTAACAACGTGGGCCAATACAGTGGTAAAATTATGACAGCTCCATGTTGAATCCTGGTGCTCTTCATTGGTCATGGCGTCTCCAATAAGATTACATCGACTATTTTTAGCGTATGGATTGTAGATAGCGCCATTAAGCTTATTGTAGTCATCGTAAATTTCTTAGTAAGTCGCGTAAAATCCAGGAATAAGACTTTCACAACATCTTGTACAACCTAAATTATCCTTAAGACATGGGCGTTGTTTTGGCACCATGAGCACTTGCAGATGTTTTTGGAAGAATAACACCAGCCGCTACAGCTACCACATTTTATTTTGATTTTATGACCAGAAGTATCAGCAACATTTTCATTCGCTGCCATCTTGAATTAATTCTTATGCTTGTGGAGGTAATAACGTAAAATGTATCTAGTGCAAATCAGATTTTTTCACGAGAACCGGAGGTCCTGTATGCTACAGAATCGTGATCTTAGTCTTATTAACGAGATCTACATTGTAAATTAAAATTGGTTATTTGTTAAAAATAAACGCTAAATCAGACGTTACAATTTAAAGTGCCCTTACCTTGGGCTTATCAGTATGATAATTATATGGCTTTACCTAGTTACAGTTTATAGAGTGTATATCGTTGTTGTGATTGTATTTGTTTGTGTAATATTTTGTCGTTGCACGTGGTTTTGTGTGGTGACTGGTGATCTCTGCTATTAGTTGTTTGTGAAGTTTTCGAAAAATATGATTATGGTGTAATCCAATGCCGTTATTATGAATGTTTACCAACCTATTTTGGTAGATCCATTGGCACTCAACAACTATGATGACATAGTATCTTTATTATTTAAGTTTTAAGTATTGATGAATAAATTGTAAAATTTATTACACGCTTCTATAGTTGAATAGGGTAGTTCATTCCAAATGTTAGGCCAACTAAACATAAATGCAGCATATTCTGATCAATCGATTAATTTAAAAGCATTACAACTCCATTTTTAGGGAACTTTTCGTGCCCTCGTGGCAGATTAGAAATGGGAAAATGGTAATGACCGACCGCGACCCCATGGCCTTCACGGTCAAACATACTCGCGCACTTATCCAGGTACAATTTTAATTAATCCAATAATTTTTCAACTAATTTGTTTAATAGTTTTGTTAATAATTTATTAACTGATTTGTTCGCGATGAAAGAATATATTATATAGTAGTTCAGCCAATTAATACTAAGAGTATTCACTATTCACTATTCAATAACTTATTGCTGCAGACTCACAAGAAGAATCCTAATGCGTGGCTCTCTAAACGAAAAAGAAAGAATTACCCTGGAGAATTGCGGGACTTGAAAATGCTGCGCGGCAACATCCTGGGTACTCTCAACAAAATTACTCCACAAAACTTCAAGGATTTAAGTGTGCAGATACTGCAGCTGGGTATTGATAACATGGAAAAACTGGAGATAGCAGTGGAGATTATTTTTGAGAAAGCCGTGTTGGAGCCACTCTACAGTGAGACTTATGCTATTGTTTGTAAGGTTAGTTTGTATGATATATGCCAACCTTAAGTTTACACGGTAATTGTCTATTATCCATTCATAATTTAATATTTTTATTTTCTTAAGCTTACCTTTCAAAAGTGGGTACGCTCGGCCCGGTACGCTATACTAGCCTAGTGGGAAACGGGATTTTTTGGTGTTGATTTACCGGGAATTATTTTAGAAATCACATTTTTTCGAATGACCAGGCTCAAGAAAATTTGCGATCTGCTCAAGCAGGCTGGTGGGAAATTTATATAGTAGTATAAATTTAATTATAGTATATTTATCCTCGTGCAGAAATGCATGAATATCTATGTCCTCGCTTACACCTGTGTGAGCTTGGATAAACATCATGAGCGGGCGTTGCCAGGTAACTTGCTGTCCTGTGAATCGGGGGGATCATACATTTAGTACCGTACGTGACGTTGGGGGTGGGTCATATTTTCTTCCAAAACACAGATAGTATTTTTGTTCTAAGTGGTGACCGGTGGATGCTGCTCATTTCCCAGAAAAACAGTTAGTACATGGTACTAACAACCCCAAAAAACCCATTTTACCTCTTATTTTAATTTTGAGAATGGGTTTTTTGAGTTTTTTTTGGTTTTTTGAATTTTTTTGTAACTTTTTATCTAATTCGACTACATTAAAAACAAAACCCCTACTAAATAGTGGTTATAATTTGCCCATTTCCCAATGTTAAATGAGCTGTTGAAAGTAATTTAAAAAGGGGTGGGTGTCTTAAATATTATCCGAAAAAACAGTTAGTATCGCGAAGGGGGTGGGTGGGTCTTTTGACAGAATTCCAAAATTACACTTAGTCGACGTCACGTACAGAACTTAGTACCTGATCCCGGATCCCCTCGTGTGAATGGAAAGCTTCGTAGTTTCTATAATTTATCAAATTTAGTACTTATCAAATTTATAATGATTATTTTGTCAGATAATGGGATCGATTAAGTTTCCGGAGGAGCAGAACTCCAAAGTGTCTCCGTTCAGAAAGACTCTGCTGAACAGATGTCAGAAGGAGTTTTTCAGAGAAAAGAGCGATGAGGATAAACTCAACAAAAAGATGGACGAACTTCAGGCCCGTAGTGAGTTTCATAAATATTAAATACACGCTCATCATTTACACACTGCCTTTGCTAACCAATCCAAACCGGAAACCCCTCTACTACTTATGCTTACTAATACCCTCAGCTGATTTGGCCGAGAACGAGAAGCAGGCACAGATGGAGGAGCTGCTGTACCAGCGCAGTAAGCTAAAGAAGAAGATGCTGGGTAACATCAACTTCATTGGGGAACTCTTCAATTTGGGCATGTTGTCCTCTAAAATCATCCTCAGCCAGGTCAGACTCTACTCTCTAGAGACTATTACTTTCTAGGTTAAAGAATTTCCGTTTTTTTGCTTTTACAGCACATAATATCGAACCTTTCCTTTCAATTAGTTATATCTAGTTAGAATGCTAATTTACCGATGACTAATTGGAAACCAGTGTATTGGAAACAATGGCAACCCCTATCTTGTTTATGGAAACCAAGGTAATTCATATCTACTGTTTGGTTATCATGGTAACACCTCAGTGTATTGGTAACATGCTGGCTAAACGAGCACAAGGAAAGTTACATGACGAAGTGGTGGAATGTCTCGCTAAGTTGTTTTCTACCGTCGGACTAAAACTTGAGAACGATTGCGACGATGAACTTAAGAAACGAGCTTTCGAGAAAAGTTTCGGTGACTTCAAAGAATTTGGATCAAGTATGTTTAGCAACTTTTGATAAGATTAGCTACCAGTGACCTCTTCTAGAACACTTGCATAATATAATTATTCTTTGTTTGATTGTTAAGATTTACTACGTTTACTATATATTCTAAATGTTATCCTTTTAATTTTGTAGATTCGAACTACGCGTACCGTATCCGGTTTATGATACAAGACGTCGTGGAGTTGCGTGATAATAACTGGGTGCCGCGCCGTAAGATGGAGGCTGCCGTAGCATCAAGCAGCAGGGAATCTAAATCGAGTAAGTTTTTACGGTATGAAGGCCAGTGTTTTGCAGTTAGGCTGGCAATAAATGAATCAATAAACCAATCGACGTACATTCATTAATTGACTGACTGACTTTACGACGATTTAGAAGGACAGCCTGAGCCAACTTAAGCCATCCGGTCAGATTCACCCAACACACTTCATGCGGATGCAGAATGCAGATGTTTATTAATATTAAATATAAATGAGCAAACTCTATATCTAGCGCATAATACTGTAATTTATATTGAAGAAATTTGTTTATTTTCTATCATCAATTATAAGTGGGGACAGTGATGTAGTAAACTTTAAGTACAGAATTAAACTTGTCGAAGAAACAATGACGACAGTGTTATCGGATTTGAATGAACTATTTAAGCAAACTAGCGAGCCAATACTGCTCCTGATATGGCGCCAGGCACGGTGGTATCCGATGGTGTAAAATGGTGAAATTTTGGTGAAATTTTTTCAATTTGGAAACCCGATTCACCATAAAAATCATTCACCATTTTTCACCATAATTGGATACCCCCTAGGGCCATCCCCCAGTTTTTTAAAAGGTTCTACAGACGATTATATACTTTCTATTTGCTGTATGTAAATATATTTTGTATATAATTACATAATATATTCTGTATAATTTATAGGAGCAGACCTCCCTAATGAGCGAGGAGCTCCACGCTATTCGCGCTTCTCATCTCCTTATTCACGAAATGAAACACCCCAGAGGTTTGTTGATGTTCCGCCTCGAATTAAACATTTTATGAAGCTATTGAATCGCGTATGTTTACCATCTTATGTACATACTAAAATGTCACCTTGAGCAATTCTCCACATATTTTCCGTACAAACTCTTTGTTAGATCTAAACAGTTCTCCCACAGATTTGGCAAATCCTTTAACTTGGAGCTAGAGTATATTCAGGACTCCGATGATGGATACTAGTGGAATGTTTGCGAGTAGTTTTCATATTTTGCGGGAACTAGTACTTCCAAGCTATTTTGTGAGGATCATGGTGTAGTTGTAGAGTGATGACTACAACAAGGCTCACCCTTTACGTGCCTGGATTCCAGGTTGATGTTATTCAAGTGAGGATCAAGGATTTTAGTTGTGTGATCTGAGTGTTTTTTATCGCAACCTCTTAATAACTGAATATGATAAATTTGGTCGCTGCTAATCTATTGTTATTTAGATATGTTGAGCTTTATATTTTGTCTTTACTTCTAAACTTCCTCGTTGTATCTTTGTATATTTTAGGTACGAGGAAAATTTCTGCCCTGATTTTGTTATGAACTTCGTTGCAAAGCAAGTATTAAAGAGTAAAACTGGTGCTTTGACAGACAAACCAGACAAACTACTTTACTTTACTTTAAGTAACAAAATACTTTCCCAGATTTCTGATTCATGTAAATCCTCAGTAACACTTTTACTGTCAGCAGCATTGCTAATTAATTTAAGGTCATCAGCAAATAATTTAACTTTATCATCTAAAACTAACCATTACATTGAATTGGCTACATTGAATTGGCTACTTTTACTACTTAAAGGGTTTTTATCAAATTTACTCAGATGTTTATTGAATTTTTATGTAGGGTCATTGTAATATTATGTGTATATTGTTCGAATACTTTATTGGGGGAAATTATCTAAAACTAACAATCCTAGTGATGATCCCGACAGTAAGAGTTCCTGCCAACTTTGGTAGAGAATTGATCAACTCCCCAGTACATGGTAACCTGGTGCTGAATCTGAAAGATGGATCAGTGTTGAAAGTAAACTCAGTCATAATGTCCCTCAACAGTCCAGTTATTGGAAATATGACCACCAATCTTTGTCAGGTACTGAGAGAAAATGTAATGTAGATTTTAATAAGTTACAGTTATAAGATTTAAGTTGTTAAACAAAATAAATGTCATTTAAAGATATAACTCCACTTTTGACCTATTTGGCGGCCATTTATTAATTCCATAATTGCACCGGTTTTTGTTCCAGGGGGTGCGATTACAAAACTAATTGCACTGTTTTGAGAGTGACTGAAATCTTATTAGGTACGATTACTAAACTAATTGCACTGATTCCCTGAAAGATGCTGTAAATCATGGCTCAGGCAGATAATTAGAGTTAGAGAGAGCACCTCGTAAAATGAGGACCTAATTAAAACCTAGTATTTTACTACTGTGAGGTGCTGATTCAAGTATTGACTTAAATCAACTACCTGAGGTAGTTTGGCGACCGTTAGTGCAATGGTCGCACGAAATAGGTTTATGGGCATAAATTTAAATTTATAGTTTAGGACAACATCTTTCCTTGTGTTTGGAGTAAGTCAATCCTTACATTGCATTAACACAACACAGTATGAGGCTGAGATCTCACTAATTATTTGTAAAACAAAAAGTGGCATAACTTATGTTCTGATAAATATTTTTGCTTCTAAATTTCACAGAATGTTAATAACAAACATCTAAACCTTTGTGGCAAGTTTTGTGTGATTGCGAGCTTCACTGAGCTTATTTGACCAATTTAGCCCCTGAGCGAGCTAGCTTGAATTTCTCACCCAGAACTGTTTACATTGGTTAATAGAAACCACCAAAAAAAATCCTGGGTAACAAAATTAAAAAACCAGCGATTTATTCACGTTTTACCAATTCTATTCACATGGATCCATCGCACATTCCATTCTCTCTATATTTTAACTGATAAGGACTATCACAGATGATCCTTCCTGCTTGTTTATATCGTTCTTCTTACATGGAATGTGCGATGTATCATGATGAATAGAATTGGTAAAACATAAATAAATCGGTGGTTTTTTAATTTTTTTACCCAGGATTTTTTTGTGGTTTCTATTAACCAATGTAAACAGTTCTGGGTGAGAAATTAAAGCTAGCACACTCAGGAGCTAACTTTGTCAGACAAGCTCAGACTCACACAAAACTTAGCACGAAGTTGTGTCTAATTATGATTAACATTCTCTAAAAATTTGAATCAAAAATATTAATCAGAACGTAAGTTATGGCGCTTTTCCATTCTGAAATAAAATAATTAGTGAGATCTCAGCGAGCTGTTTCAATTTTAAGAGATAAGGATGGGTAGACTTTTGAGGCCCACACTGTATAACAACAAAGTCGGTGCGATTATAAACTAATTACACTGGTTATAACATCAGAGGCGTGGAGTTATACGCAAATCTAACTGCATGTATAATACGATTACACCAGTTATTGCACTCGGCTGCGCCTCGTGAAATAACTGCAATAATCGAACTCGGCTTCGCCTCGTGCGATTATTGTATCAATTTCCACTCGGCTGCGCCTCGTGCAATTAATAGTGTAATCGCATTATACGCAGTTAGATTAGCGTATATAATATAATAACTGTCTCAAATTATTTGCTATATAACTATATAATTATAGTAGTGTTGAAAGTATTATTATATACATATATATATCATGACGTTTTAACTCGTCAAATTTATTTCAGTTAAATAACATTTTGTTTTTCAGTCTACACTCGAGATGGATGACTTTAGTGTTCAAGCAGTACATTGTTTTGTTGATGCAATGTACTCTGGTGAATCTGAGATGCTGGAGAGAGTAAACTTTGAGGACGTTAACAAGATGGCCCACGTTTTTGGTGTGGGGCTGGTTTAGAAGGAAATGTTTAAAGTTCTTTAAAACAGATGTTCTGAACTTTGAGAACAATTCATATGAGGAGATTCTGTTTGCCTGTGAGATTGCCAGTCGAGCATACTTCAATCTGAAACAGAGCAAGTTTGTGGGTCTACTTGTCAGAAACATGACGTCCAGGAACATAGGAAAAAGGGTATTTTTACGGAAATACATGTCCAACTTTGCTGAGCTATCAAAACGTCAGATCAACATGTCAATTCAGATAGCTGGTAGAGAATTGAACATTCTGTTTGATTGTTTAATCAGTTATCTCACGTTTGGGTTGAAGTACACAGGATTTGATGAGAACTCTTTGTATTTACTTGAACAAGTAGATATGAGACTATTTCAGCAAAGATATCCGGACCAGTTTGTTGAAGTTGTGGACCTGATAACTGAACTGTCGGAAGGATCTGAGAGTGGTAAAGTGAAAGAGTTGGTAGAAAAGGTGGTCAAGTTGAGGAGTGAAGTTGTAGCTGGTGGTTCTGATGAGGTGCTAGAAGACAGTCAATGTAGTGGAGATTCAGAAGATAGTGATGATGGAGATGTACAGGAGGGTTGTAGACACGTTGCCACTCAAACTGATGAGGTTAAAACAGGTAAATGGAATTTTTGAATTGGAAGGGTGAACACTGAACTTACCTGTTATTTTGTTTTAATTTCATATGTTTGTAATATGTCTGCTAATTTTGCTTTTCAATAGAGCAAACTCAGCAGATCTAATATAAATATTATAATAATATTCAGGTTTTAAATAGCCTGTGATTGACACGTCATTGTTTGTTCAGTTTAGGTACACTTAATTAATATCTAATCTATTTTCAGATTGCATTGCCAGACAAACTGATGAGTTTAAAACAGGCATAATATAGAATGTTATTATTATCAGTTGGTACCTATTAATTAACATACACATTTTAATCTTCAACCAAATTTTATGTCTCTACTTAGTTATATTGCTAATTTCTGAATTAACCATTTAATTGTCAGTTACAAATTACAATACACGTTGTGTCACTTAATTTGTTCATTGTAACTAATTTATTTGCAGGTTGGATACAGCCTGTACGTGGCACATACTACCCCCTGTTACCAGACGAACCAATACAGTTCATAACAACAGATAATGAGTTACAGAGTTATATTCGTGTGTGTTATACTCTATCTGTAGAGGGTAGCACTGAAGATAGGTTGTTTACCATGAGATGTGAGAATATAGACACCAATCAGTGGGGTTATCGTTATCGTATTGCGGGGTGTACTGTAGCTAGAGACAATACACAGTACTTAGACAGTGTTCCAACTGATAAAGTAAAACACTGGATTATAACTAAAACTTGTACCCATCTAAAGGTTGTGTGTAACAATGTGACAGTACTCAGCTTTAACTTTGCTACTGACTACTCACCAGGTGGTAAGACTAGTCACCAGGTTTGGTTGAGAAGGTGCAGTAGTTTGAGATTCCTTAGCTATTACAAGATGACTAATATTCTTTTAAGAACTGTAAGTTAATATACTACAATCTGAACAATAACCTACCTTATAAACTGATCGGGAATATTTCAAATTTGTTATGATCTAGAATGAACAATTTGTTAAATAATAAATTCTGATAGCTTATTTACTACTATTATTACGGAAAATGAATCAGTAAATCTTAAAAAACAGTAAAAACTTGGGGTGTTATGAAAATAAACATCATCATCATGGTCGCCGTCCTGTAATTAGCAAGTACAGCTACATTTCAGTTTAATAGAGTATGGGAACAGAATTTTTTTAACCGGAAAATTTTGTCAATTTTTTCCATTTATGTCTCAACTTTTGGTGTGAAATTTGTGAAAGTAATTAAAATTGTTATTCCAACCTCTTAACTTATTGAGATAAATTTTGTAGCTCATTGGACAATTTCCGCTGCTAAGTGTTCTAGTTTGCACCGATTAAAAGATATATTGTTATTTGGATATGTTGCTTTATACTTTGTCTTTACTTCTAAATTTACCCTTTGGCCAGTCTAAACTCCCTCATTGTATATTTTTAAAGGTACAATGGAAATTTCTGCCCTGATTTTGTTATGAACTTCGTTGCAAAGCAAGTTTTAAAGAGTAAAACTGGTGCTTTGACAGACAAACTAGATGAGGTTTCAAAGAAATGCAAGGAAATGCTGGACTCAGATGAACCTGAACCACCACAACCTGCTCAAAATCTCAGTGAGGAAGAACAGATGAACCAAGAGGTTTGTTAATTGTTGAATAATGAATATTCATTTTGCAGTCAATTTTGATGCAAACACCATTTTAATTGCTATTGAACTGTTTTTAAAGAGATGAGTACTGGTGGGGAGCTTGTTTTGACATAATACTAGGATTTCATTGGCTTGTTGCTCAGTGCACTGTTGTTGAACACAATATGTAAAAACAAACATGCCTCTCTGTAATTACCCTCAATAACTGACTACTTAATCTTCTTGCTACAAAGTAACAATTGCAGTGTGTTTTGATAAAAACCACAATTTGATCACCCATTCCAACTGAATTTGTTTTTTCTCAGGCTGAAAGAAGAAAGCAACATTACGAGTCTTTCAATGCTGAGAGAGAGGATCAGAGGAGTAAAATGAGAGAAAAGTATGGTCTGAAATCTGAGGCCAGTTCACCAGCAGCAGATACTCCAGTTGAAGAAGTGGTGGCTGAAGAGGAACCGGAGGAGACAATCGAGGGGAGTGAGAAGAAGGATTGCTGTGTGATGTGAGAATATTGTGAGGATGTTTATTTGTGGTTATTAAAATATTTAACTTGCAGATTCCATGTCTTCAATGACATTATGTGCTAGATATAAATTCCCTTATTTGTAGCTGATACAAGATTTTACATCCAGGGTCCACCTGGTAATTATGGTTTTCGTGTAGATTTGAAATGGTTGTGCTATGATAAGTTTGTTGTTATTTAATTTAATTTAATGTAACTAGCAGTTAATAGATCTCTGGGTTGTTGTGCTACTTCTATTACTTAAATTATTGTTTTTAGTTTCTTTTAGCTGAGTGTTAATAAGGGAGAATTTATCAAAGGGGGTTGTAAAATTAGTGGTGCTCATAATACTAATTGTAACCTACATTTATGTATAATTAATTATTAAATGATATACATTATTATGATACTCAGAGACTATTAAAATATATTTAAAAGGAATTTTAATAGGAAAGTAGAAAGGTGACATTATAAGTTGCATACAGTCGTTTTCAGAAGCTTAATGAATGATAATTATAATTTATTTGTTTATTGAGAATTATTAAAAACCAGACTTTACTTATTTATTATCTCATAAATTCATTATTTAAATTATTTAATTTCATTAAATTGACTTCTAGTCTAATTTTAACAGACATTTTGATTGAATTTAAATTATTTATTTTTGCCGACCAGTTTGGTATATTTGCCGTTTTCACTCCATATTAATTTATCATAATATTTAAATTTTGGTTTCAAATTATTTTGATTTCAAATGATTTATTTAATTTCATCAAATTTCACGGCAGACACATTTTTGATGTTGGTATAATTTAGTTTTTTTGATCGATGTATTCCGCTCTCATAAACTGACGGTCGTTGTAAATTTTCATGCATTCGATAAAGACGGACAATATAACAGCTGTTGTCTAAATTTATGTCGCTATAGGCGCAATGGAAAAATATTGCATATAATATAAAATATACTAAACAGTGCTAATGAGCAGTATGTATGTCTAATGTCTATTCGCGCACTTACGAATAATTTTGATAATTCTAAGTACTGATCATGCTCTTGTATAAATTTAGAATAAAACAGGTGTTAAATATTTAAAACTGAGATCCAACGACTGTTATTTCATGACCGTTTAATGTTAGAATATTTAGGGCTGGGAACCTGCTGATTATTTATTTATATAACTTATAACCTGACCATTCAACTCACTATTTATTGTATAAAATATCCAATATCAATATCATTTTAGAAAGTTGTGTTTTATTAATTATCTGCAATGTAGTAAACTCTCTCTAAATTTAAAAACGTTGTTATACATACTAAACTTAGAAATCCATTGTGTTAAATGCTTTATAAATTTGGTTACAATCTACAAATTGTATAATTAATATCATTAAACAACAAATAACCACACCACAGCGCTCCATCATGACAACAGGCGAGGTAGCCATGATAGAAGCACAGCTGAAGGAAGACCGAGCAAAGCTGGAAATCCTCCAAAACATGCTCAAAAAGAGCTCCTCTCTTACGGAAAACATGAAAGAAAGATTAACGCAGTTTGATGACCGGCTGGTCAGGTTAAAGGGTCAGATAATGCCTGTTTACGACGAGATGCAAGTTAAGATAAGAGCTCAATCTAACGGGGAGTTAGCTATCAAGGAGTTGGATAAGGTAGCCAGGTATTATTGTTTGAGGGAAGAACTTGATAGGACTATAAGTAATGATGTCAGTTCAAGTGTTCCAGAGTATATTAAAAACATGAAGGAACTGTCTAGAGCTATTAAATTCTTTCTGGATAACAATCCCAATAGTAATGAAGTTAAGAAGCTTAAAGAACTTTTCCACACGGGTCTGGGAAATATGTGTAAGGAATTTGAGGATGTGTTAAAGAAGAAATCCAGAAATGTCGGGATAAAAGATATGACTTCCGATGGTGATGAATTACCTGTGATACCTTTACTCATACCTGAAGCTAAGCAGAGCCTATCCTTGATATCAAAGTGGGTGGCTGAGAATCATGTTTTTGTGAAGAACAACTACCTTCCTGGTGTTGATTTTGTCAAGATTATTTGTACCAACTATGTGACCGTTCAGAAGAAATACCTGAGGGAAAAGCTGGAGATGTTAGCGAATGCTGAGCAACTTGCTATATTTGCTAACGCTACCCCTATCATGGGGCGCAAGGTTAGAAATGCAGAAATAACAAGAAAAGGGTCCAAATTATCCAGAGAAAATGTCAGGCGACAAAGTAAACGTGGCCATAAGAGGACCCCATCTGATCATACATCTATACAAACCATCAAAGAGGACATAAACGTAGAGCAGACAGCTAAAAGTTTCGCCAAAGTTGGCACTTATTTCGCTCAGTTAATAAAATCAGAGTACTATCAGATCCAGGACCTGATAACACCGTCCCTGTGTGAGAAAGTATTTGTTGATATTGTAGAGCCGGCCATGACTCACTTTGAGGGTGAAGGAATGCAACTTGTAAAAGCGGCCAAGGAACAGATCCTGAACAACAACTGGGTGGCAGTGTTCCCCCTGATCATGTTGTATCAGAATCTAAACAAGATAAAATGTAGTCTTATCAGTGAGGACCAGCTTGACTTTGAAGCAGCACCCCTGGCTCCTATCTCTAATCTTATCTCCGTTATCACAACCTGTGTTAAAGAAACGCTGGATCAGTTCAAGTGTTTTGTTGAGGATGATGCTGTGAAGACATCTAATGTAGCGAGTGACGGAACTGTTCACCAACTGACGAGTAATGTGATGAGTATCTGTGGTCAGCTGTTAGCGTACGAGGAAACAGTCGGAACTTTACTTAAAGGTGTCCAGCATCAGGGTACCAGGAAACTTCCACAATCTAACATTCACCGTCAGATGGCTACTTATATTAACGGTATTTTGAAGGCACTGGAGAAGAATCTAGAATCAAAGTCTAAAGTCTATGATAACAAGTGTTTGTCAGCGCTCTTCCTGATGAACAACTACAACTACATCAGGAATAATCTGAAGGAATCGGAGATACTGACGCTGCTGCAAGATAACCACCATGACGGTGTTGATCTTGACGCCAGGTACATTGACTGGATACACAAGCAGATGGAAGTATATAGACTCTGGTATCAGCCCATGGTTGATGTGATGGCGGACTCGAACACTGGCACCGTGTTCAGGGAGTCTGACAAGCTGAAGGATAGTCAGAAAGATGCTATTAAAACTAAGTTTAAGGTGTTTAATACCACACTGGAGGAACAGCTGAGAATTCAGCAGAAGTGGGCGATACCAGATCCTCAGTTCAGAGAGTGGGTCAGAGAGGGGAACATTGAGGCTATTATTTTCCGGTACGAAGATATGTGTAAACGGTATGAAAAGGTGAATTTCTCTTCAAATAATAAAAAGTATATCATTTACTCGACGGAAGATGTCGAGAAGACTTTGACCATGTTCTTCGATCAGAAATTTTGATTTTACCTGTAAATGATGTTTAAATGTGATTTCCTTTTTAATTTTGGACTCGGGTCAGATAAAACGTTTAGGTTTGACTGCTTGGTTTTCTTTATTTTTGTTTTTTGTAAATATTATGTGAAAATTTCATTTATTCTTTGGTAACGATTTCCGTGTGTTTCTACTGTTTTTATTGAATCATCTCTACAATAATTTGATCAAGTCGAAATTCTGTTTATTTAACAGTTTGTTTATAGTCCGTTATTTTATTGCATAAAAGTCTAAATTTATAATACATATCCATCGTTTCAACAACTAACTAAAGTTACCAATTAGCTAATACATTAAAAATGGGTTGGAGGGACGTTGAAATGCCGGATGGTACTGTAAAGAAGTTCATATGGAGTCCTAAATACGACCCAAGATACCCTTCTTTTAACCAAGGGCCCAAGTGTAACCAATACTTCATGTGAGTACAATTCTTCTACTTTTCCAGTTTAATTAACTAACATTTAACTGCGGTATATCCTCTTAATTTCTGTTTACCATCTCGATCTGTATAACTAGCCTTGGTGCTATGGACTCGAATCTGCGGTGACCAAGATTTGAATTATCTAATCTAAAATGTATTTAAAAACATATTCTAATTAAAGTTTTCCCTATCAGTGATTTCCAGAAGTGTATCTGGAAGAAGGGTGAAGGGTACAAGCCATGTGATTGGTTCAGACATCACTACGAGCACATCTGTCCTCAACCTTGGATCGAAAAGTGGAACGACCAACTTGACCGAGGTGAGAACGATTGTTTGGGCGGATTTCGCGAACATTCTTCAGTTGATAAAATATTTATTTTGACGAATCGTTTCTGATGCACGGTAGGGAACACGCGTAAATAAATGCATAGTACAAAGCTCAATTTATTCTGGAAAGCTGGACTCAGGCGCGCGCGCGTCTGGCCAGCTCCTAGGCAGCTGGATCGAGCTAGAAAGTCCGGCCGGCCGGGCCATGAATATTATGGTTTAAGTGAACAGTGAAACCATTGACTAAGTTTAATCTTGAGGAATCAAGTTTATGCCGCATCAACTCAAAAACATCAAGATCCTGACCAATGTTGCCCATTTCAGGTGTTTTCCCCTCCAAGCAACTGTTGAAGTGGCAGAACAAGTACCCCAAGGCTGCAGCTGCAGAAGAAGAGGAATAAATATAGTTCAACAACGTTGACTGCTTTCTATCATGGACCATCGAGACTCACACTATCGAAGAATAGATTCAATTTTGTTTAGCAAAGTTAACTAAGCCACGACCCCTTTTGGATCTGAACCACATTTGTAATTTATTGTTAGGCTAGGCTGTCCTCCGATTTTTTAGGTGTTTAAGATCAGAGACTGGCCTTCGGATATTATTATTTTCTAATTGTGATGTTATGAGTAAAAATTATGCCAATAGTTCAAGTGATTAACTTTGCGTTTTATTCCTCTTCTCTAACAATATTGTACAAACTTGTCGGTAGACCTTTCTGCCCGTTGGGTGAGCACGAACGATTGAAGGTGTATAAATCACAAACCCCTCTTCTTCGCTGTGTTCACACGTCACACACATGCTATATTCTATCTAGTCCTGCATCTCACACATCTCTTGTACGACGTACCAAGTTTCTCCATTGCACTCGGTTTAATGCTAATCCAGCCTTTTCGGGGTCTCCCCCGTCACCCGTGACCTCTTTCCATAAATTAGTATAGAAGAATCGATGAAAATTCGAATAGACTTAACGCCGGCACGCCCTAGAACCTCATTGGAGACGTGCTTCAGCTCCCTATAACATGATTGTGGTAATAGCAGCTTTGAATTATTATTGTTGGTGCGGATCTTTGTGGGTGATTTTGTAGTTTGCCATTACTGGTTAAAAGCACAATTGGAGCGCTGGATCCTGATATCCTCCAAGGTCTAGATCAATTAAACATCAATGAAATGGTAACATCCTCACTCATATTATTGGCACTGAGGTACAAAAGTTAATGCCTACTTGACAGGTTACCCCTAACCTGCACTGTCAGCTCAGTTTTCGCTTAACCTGATTCTCGTCCCCTATACCAGTTTACCTCAAAAACACGATATCTAATCCTGCAGTCAACCCTAGCGGTTAACCTCACAGGCCACAGCAACACTTCAGCCGTGGCTGGTCACCCTCAAGAGTCATTAAAATAAATCTGTGGAAATTTAAAACAATTAATTTTTCTCATTGCCGTGGGACTTGATCTCTCGGCTCACCAGATCCATCTATTTGAATTCTCACTGCAAGGGCTCGAACACGAGTTTTCGTCACTTCTTCACGCAAGGCAGCGGAGTAGCCATGTACTGATGGACAGGCCTCGCGCGGCGCATTTGTGTCACAGTGGTTGATAAAAGTAAGTCGTTGCTACATTATAAGATTGTTCGGCGGTAGACCTTTCCGCGCCTTCCAGAAACGTTATAACTCAGTGCATCTGTGGCACACAAGGTCACACGAGGAATCTTATACACATGCACGGCTATTGGATTAACTTCCAATCTAGGAGCAAAAATAGTTACAAATGGGATCAAATGCTCCAGTTACTAAGTGGATGCCATGGCAATCTTGCCAAAACTCTAACTTTCGACACGGACCATCGGTGTTTACTGTTTCATCCTGGCTTACCGTATCTGCCTACCAAATCCTATACAGCTGTCATAAAATTAAGATATATGACTTTAATTAGACTACTGTAGTGTAAAAAATAAAGTGATGAAATTGTCAACTTAGCCGGCCGAAATTCAGGCTTTACATTTTTTATTCCATTCTACTACAATAATTCTGATGATAGAAAGTGTCTACGACCACACAGGAAACTGGTGATCATCTATCAGAGTTTTAAAACTTTAAAATTTTAGGAGAGTGACTTTACTGCTTATCTTTTCAATGCTTTTCTTTAAACAGTTAACAGTTTTTATCTTCTAAGCTTTAAAAAGCCGGGCGAATTCCCTTATATGGTGATACAATTTGCCTTGTTGATTGTGCACTAGATCGAGGTCATTCGAGGTGATTAAATCGTTTTCATCACGAATAAATATAAGAATCTTAGTGTAAACAGCGCGGTCATTGATCATAACATAGCGTGCATTTTTTGTCTTTAAAAAAGAATTCTGGACTAAACAAAATGTTTCCGGCACCTTTTGTTTATTGTCTGATGAACGATCGCACTACTTTTAGGACAAGTAATGATTATTCTCGTCCGCTGTACATCATTCTCTGAACAATAGTCAATAAGGCATTCACATGTTTCTTCTTTAAAGCTGAATTTTCAATTCACAATTGCATGCCAATGGAGCAAATCTCAATCCGATTCCACTTTATTTATTTCGTATAACAAGCACATTTGTCAAGCAAATTTCTTGAAATACAATATAAATTCCCGATCACGTGACAAACACAATAAGAGGGTCGATATTAGTTTATCATTGCTCTAACTCTGCACTCTGCACACTGACCGATATGCACCACGTGACATGAATTAATCCAGAAGTTTTACAGCTGCGGATGCGGTACATAATCGGGGGGCCTGTGGTGGCACTTTGGCTGATTTCTTTGTGAAACATGCAGAATCACGACTGCTCGGAGATCGGATTAAATCTACGGAAACTTAAATAGTTATTCGATTATGATGGGTGAATTTACTTAGTTTAATGAATTAACCTAAGTTTTTCAGAGCATCAGTTCAGCTCAGAAACCAAAAGTAATTTAACAAATTCTCAGGACTGGTAATTTTACTTTCCACATCATTGACCTTACTCGAAAGTCGCAGACTGTCTTTAGTTTTCCAATATTTCAGGGACACACCTGATCGGTCCAACATGTCACAGTCATCTCGTTAATGCTATCATTAATTTAATTTCTTTTGGAATGTACCCAGGACATGTTCGAAATACAAGTGACAAATGCACTGGAGAAATGCCCAAAAATTCGTAAGGGTAACCATGGCAACTGTTGCAGGAGTCCAAAGTCGTGACTACAAGAACAATACCTCATTTTCAACCTGTACTACACACTAACTGGGGCAGTGATCCTTTTGGATTGCACGCCGAACCGACCACTACCAAGGCTTATCCAATCAGGACAAAGCACCGCTATCACGTGCCAGTACTCCTCCAGTGGAAAGGGACCATTTATATCACTTGACAAGCTGTTTTCATCAATAGTCATGCAAATTGTTGAGCAATGTTACGCAGCAAATCCATTATGTTAGTTTTACGAGATAAATCACTATCAGAATGGCTCGAATCAGATTGAACAGATTGCACACGATAAAATGAGTGATTTACTGTCGGTCATCTCCATTGGAAAGAACCGACTCTATTTGTAATGGATAATCGCTCGAAATGAATCTTTCCCGACGAAATGAAACGCTTTATCTCATAAACAAATACATAAAATAAGGGGTTAATGATATTTACATCACATTTTTCAGGCCCGTGCAAAATTCCTGAAAGCAAATAATATATATCTTAACTCTTTTTATACATCGATAAATTCAGATCCCAATTCTTCCACGCATTTGTACATTTTTACATTCTCAAAAGCACTCTTTCAAACCCTGGTAAACACTCAAAATTCCAATTTAAAGCAGAATAAATTACTCAAAACTGTGGGATAACTTATAGATTAATGTGCAGATAGATTGCACGAAAATTCAAGTTAAGTTTCGATAGAAAGGTACAAAATTACATCGTTGCTTGAAAAAGAAATAAATTGTGATATATAAGTGAAAAATTTAAAAATTCAAAAATTAGCTTTCTCAGATTTTCAACGGTAAAAGCGACAAGCGAGTTAAGGTTGCAGCTTTGCAAATATTTTGCTATACCATCTTAGTCAGCTATGATTAGAGTTAAATTATAGTACTATCGTTTACACGCCAAAATTAGAGTAATTTCAGTCTTTTGAAGGACAACTTTATAACTTGACTTCTAAATATTTATGTTAATGAGATCATAATTTTCCAACATGTAAAATGCATTGTATCTACAAGAATCCATGTTCATGTAACAAAATCCATGCTCCAAAGAACGATGGAATGCGATAACTAAGTCCGATAATATCTTCATCCGAAAATGTTGCTGGAATATCCACCAGGAGGAGGTCGAACGAAGGGTGGGGGGACAGGGGTTTTCACCATGGGAGTGATCGTTCTTTCTCTTCGAGGTGAAAATACCTGGATATTGTAAGAGGTGAGAAGCTAGCTTATTTGTAAACTCATATTAGCACGGTTCTGAATGAATTTAATAGGTGCTAACTAGAGAACTAGTAATTACGCAGCTTAGGTAGGCTACAACCGGAAAGGAAATATTATTTTGAATAATTGGCAAAACGTTATTTCAATCGTTCCAATTAGAAACGTCATCGTTCCGAAATAATTTTGGCTTGGACAGCCGATTAGCCGGGTTGTTCAAACCTGAAATCTTGGATTCATTATCACTAAACAGAATTTCCAATCAACCGAGTGATATGATATACATTTTGTATCTGCTAATTATTTCTAATTGATTCTAATTAATTAAACTTCACCTGTTGTTCGGTGACGTGGTTGTGCTGAGCGAAGGGGGTTGTGGGCCTATATCCGTCTTGTTTTCCGTTACTCATTGGCTCGTGTGTGGCGTACGGCGATCTAGAGTAACGCTGACTGAAACATACCCGACTACATTTAGCCACGGGTGGAGTTGCGCCGGTGATCAGAGACAATGTTCCCGTTTTCGGGAAAGTTCCCGAAGGAATTGAGGAATGTTCAGCGGTTAATTAAAGAGGAAGGTCTCGTGTTGAGGGAGAAATGTTCAGCAGGTTTGAATTTAAGAAAAATGTTCAGCCATGGTTGATTAAATTAGACTTAGTCAGCAAAATTAAAGCAGTTTGGTTTCATGCTTTTTATTAAACTTTTCTGCTTTTAAATTAATCAAGCAAAATATCAGTAGATGAATCCATAAATTTGGAACATGGGTACATCGCAGTATTGGCCGTATTTGAGTGCTCGGAAGGCTCAGTTCGGTTTTCTAAGATGGATATAGCCGTAAGCTATGCCTAGGAGCCATCAAAAGTCGCATAAAATTACCCATGGAATGACCAGAAATGGACGAAAATGAACATTCTTCTCAAAGTGCTCCGAATGGTTTAAAATGGGTCGGAAAGTGTTAACATTGGTCCTAGGACCACTCAAACCAAGTTTGGGAATCACTGCATGTCTAGAACCGATGTTACCTATGTTCCAAAATGTTCCAATTTTGGGACAATAATCCTCCTGAGAATCCAGATTTTTGGAACATGGGCACATCGAAGTATTGCCTGTATTTAAGTGCTGGGAAGCCTCAATTCGGTTTTCTAAGATGGATATAGGTAAAAACTAGGCCTAAGAGCCATCAAAACTCAGGTACATGTAATGAACGAAAATGAACAAAATTGAACATTGTCCTAAAAATGCTCAGAACGGTTTAAAATTGGTCGGAAAGTGTTTATATTGGTCCTGCGACCACTCAAACCAAGTTTGGGAATCACTGCATGTCTAGAACCGATGTTACCTATGTTCCAAAATGTTCCAATTTTGGGACAATAATCCTCCTGAGAATCCAGATTTTTGGAACATGGGCACATCGAAGTATTGGCTGTATTTAAGTGCTGGGAAGCCTCAATTCGGTTTTCTAAGATGGATATAGGTAAAAACTAGGCCTAAGAGCCATCAAAACTCAAATAACATTACCCAGGTTCATGTAATGAACGAAAATGAACAAAATTGAACATTGTCCTAAAAATGCTCAGAACGGTTTAAAATTGGTCGGAAAGTGTTTATATTGGTCCTGCAACCACTCAAACCAAGTTTGGGAATCACTGCATGTCTAGAACCGATGTTACCTATGTTCCAAAATGTTCCAATTTTGGGACAATAATCCTCCTGAGAATCCAGATTTTTGGAACATGGGCACATCGAAATATTGGCTGTATTTAAGTGCTGGGAAGCCTCAATTCGGTTTTCTAAGATGGATATAGGTAAAAACTAGGCCTAAGAGCCATCAAAACTCAAATAACATTACCCAGGTTCATGTAATGAACGAAAATGAACAAAAATGAATATTGTCCTAAAAATGCTCAGAACGGTTTAAAATTGGTCGGAAAGTGTTTATATTGGTCCTAGGACCACTCAAACCAAGTTTGGGAATCACTGCATGTCTAGAACCGATGTTACCTATGTTCCAAAATGTTCCAATTTTGGGACAATAATCCTCCTGAGAATCCAGATTTTTGGAACATGGGCACATCGAAGTATTGGCTGTATTTAAGTGCTGGGAAGCATTTATATCAAAATATTGGAGGATTATTAAAACAAAAATATTTGCCCAATAAAATAATTTCTGTTTAATTGTACATAATTCTGAATGCAACTTTAAGACCCTGTTGGACGAAAATATTGACTCTTTGCCATCATTTTTTAACCATTCTGAGTGCTTTGAGGAAAATTTTCATGTTCGTTGTTCATTCCATAAACTTGGGTAATATTATTCGACTTTTGATGGCTCCTCTATAAGGCCTAGTTTTTTTATATCCATCTTAGAAAACCGAATTGAGGCTTCCCAGCACTTCGATGTCCCCATGTTCCAAAAATCTGGATGCTCAGGAGGATTATTGTGACAACATTGGTAACATCGGGTCTAGACATGAAGTGATTCCCAAACTTTCCGACCAATTTTAAACCGTTCTGAGCATTTTTAGGACAATATTCATTTTTTGTTCATTTTCGTTCATTCATGAACCTGGGTAATGTTATTTGAGTTTTGATGGCTCTTAGGCCTAGTTTTTACCTATATCCATCATTTACAATTATTTATGGCACTATTTAGAGCTTATTAGGGCAAATAAATGCATGGGACACTTTTGGGACAATTTTGGGACATGTCAGGAGGATTATTGTGACAACATTGGTAACATCGGGTCTAGACATGAAGTGATTCCCAAACTTTCCGACCAATTTTAAACCGTTCTGAGCATTTTTAGGACAATATTCATTTTTTGTTCATTTTCGTTCATTCCATGAACCTGGGTAATGTTATTTGAGTTTTGATGGCTCTTAGGCCTAGTTTTTACCTATATCCATCTTAGAAAACCGAATTGAGGCTTCCCAGCACTTAAATACAGCCAATACTTCGATGTGCCCATGTTCCAAAAATCTGGATTCTCAGGAGGATTATTGTCCCAAAATTGGAACATTTTGGAACATAGGTAACATCGGTTCTAGACATGCAGTGATTCCCAAACTTGGTTTGAGTGGTCATGGGACCAATATAAACACTTTCCGACGAATTTTAAACCGTTCTGAGCATTTTTAGGACAATATTCATTTTTGTTCATTTTCGTTCATTCCATGAACCTGGGTAATGTTATTTGAGTTTTGATGGCTCTTAGGCCTAGTTTTTACCTATATCCATCATTTACAATTATTTATGGCACTATTTAGAGCTTATTAGGGCAAATAAATGCATGGGACACTTTTGGGACAATTTTGGGACATGTTCCAAAAATGTTCCAAAAATGTTCCAAAAATCTGGATTCATCAACTCCAAAATATTAATAAAATGCACCCGTTTGTAAAATGGTAAGTCTTCTAAGCAATCGCTTTTAAATGCTACACAAAGTATTGAATGAGTTAAATGAAACAAAGCTTTACTTCACTTACTTCACTGTCACAACTCCACCACTTTACTATTTAGTCAGGTATGTTATTGTCAGTGTGACCTACATGTAATTAACATTGGCCCGAGTTGTTTTACGGGTTGGTGCCAGTAATAGACCCACAGTAACGGAGATGGGGTCCCTTACTGTCACTAACACGTAGACCAACTTCGACCAATGTTATCATCGACTGATATTGTCTACAGTCTGATGTAGGTGACACTGACAGTTATATTCAGATAAAATATAGAATAGATTTTCATGATGGAGTATATTTTCATGATGGAGTATATTTTCATGATGGAGTATATTTTCATGATGGAGTATATTTTCATTAAATCTGTGAACAGAAAACAACTGATTACTGATGTCCTCGACATAGGATCGAAAATTGATTATGATTAAATATGAAATGACCGTAATCAAGTCATTTCAGTCGTCACCGATTTTATCAGCATTGTCGGATCAACCAAGTCGACATATTTCTCATAAAATTTACATATATCTGAACACTGAACTCTGGATAAAATGGGATAAATGCTTTTAAAATATTAATCATGCACATTCTGACAAGTAAACGTCATGCAAACAAGGACAACGTACACGCTAATACTGAAGCAGAACAAAAGAAATAAAGCACTAAAGCAGCTAAGCGGTGCAAGTTAACCGAGGTTTAAAATCCTCGGGACATAATGGCAGTAATTTTAGAAGACACATTATTTTAATTTAGAAGAGAAAGTAACAGCTGAGTATAACATTTTAAGCTCAATAATCTCATGCCGAAATATAAACTCAGCTTCCAGTTCAAAACATGCTGCAAAATTCCGTTTAATATACAACTAAACATGCAGTGGTTCAGCCAGGAGCATCAGCCGAAAACAGCCATTACTTAATGCTTTAATAAAGATCAACACAACAATTGTAAAGCATTAAAGCAGCATTTTCCAAATATTTCCCACTAATATAGCACGGATTACTCACCCTCCAATGCCGTTAGGAATACGTCTAGGAGTAGATTTAGGAGGAGTATTGTCGAACACAGAAGACCGGTTTTTGTTGCGCCGCGCACTGGCTGGTCTGGTGAACTCTATTGAGTCTCTGCAATGTACCTGGTAGGGAAGTTAGGGGTGAAACGAGGTGAAATAGTGGGCAATGAAGAGGTACAAGTTAGGGGTGAAACGAGGTGAAATAGTGGGCAATGAAGAGGTACATGTTAGGGGTGAAACGAGGTGAAATAGTGGGCAATGAAGATGTACATGTTAGGGGTGAAACGAGGTGAAATAGTGGGCAATGAAGAGGTACAAGTTAGGGGTGAAACGAGGTGCAATAGTGGGCAATGAAGAGGTACATGTTAGGGGTGAAACGAGGTGAAATAGTGGGCAATGAAGAGGTACATGTTAGGGGTGAAACGAGGTGAAATAGTGGGCAATGAAGAGGTACAAGTTAGGGGTGAAACGAGGTGCAATAGTGGGCAATGAAGAGGTACATGTTAGGGGTGAATTGTGAAACGAGGTGAAATAGTGGGCAATGAAGAGGTACATGTTAGGGGTGAAACGAGGTGAAATAGTGGCTAATGTAGAACTAGTTATAGGTCTGTAGCACATAGTGCGTTCTGTACCTTAGATAAGAAGTATATATTGAGAATACATGAAATATATATATATATAATATAGTACGCTTAGTATTGGGAACTATGAGCGAATTAAACTGTTTGATTTCAAGATAACTTACGTCCTGACTCTTGGATCCCGCGAAACTCTTTTTAACCGGTGTCTCTTCTTTCATCTTTTGAACCTTCTTTTTTGGAGGTGTTCCTTCAGCCGAGATATTCAGAGTTTCAGTCATAGTATCAGCAGGTGTGCATTCGTATCTGAAATAATATAAAATAATAATAAAACGGTTTGAAACTCACATTTATGTGCTTGTAGCGTTTTAGTTGCAGTTAATTATAATGCTTTACTTGCACATGCTTTGTGCTATCATTCACTAAGCTAACGAAAAGCAGAGGCCTTTGAATGATCTACGAAATGAAACTTACTTTCTTTTTTTTTATAAACAAATACATAAAATAAGGGGTTAATGATATTTACATCACAATTTTCAGGGTCCGTGCAAAAAAAACCTGAAAGCAAATAATTTATCTCTCTTTACTATTTGTTTACACACCAGTATATTCGGAATTCTTCCACACGTTTATAGTTTATACATTTTTACATTTACTCTTTGAAACCCTCGTAAATACTCAACAAGTAAAAGCAGAATAAATTACTCAAAAGTGGATAACTTATTTGGTGGATAACTTATTTGGCGTGCAGATTAAATCTACATGAAAATTAAAAGTAAGTTTTGACTTTAAGTCTACACCTTCGATAGAAAGGTACAAAATTAAATCGTTGTTTGAAAAAAATAAATTGTGGTAAGTGAAAAATTTAAAAATTCAACAATTAGCTTATTTTTTCGTACATTAAAAGCTAAATCATATATATATATATGTTAAGATATGGTACTATTATTCAGAGCCAAAATTTTTGAAAGTTGACTCTATTTCTTGATTTCTAAATATTTAAGTTCAAAATTTTCCAACATGTAAGAGACATTGTATCTACAAGAATACAATAATCATGTTCATGTAAAAAATCCATGCTCTAAGGAGCAATGGAATCATTCCATCATGGAATGTGATAACTAATCCGATAATATCTTCATCCGAAAATGTTGCTGGAATATCCACCAGGAGGAGGGCGAACGAAGGGTGGGGGGACAGGGGTTTTCACCATTGGGGTGATCGTTCTTTCTCTTCGAGGTGAAAATACCTGGACGAAGGCATGTCAGACCCTGACTGCACCGCATTATATAGTCAAGTACGTATGAGGCCAAAAGTTTTAGAATAGGGTCACTAATAAGCATTTTGCATGGCTCTTGAGTCTTGAAGTTGATAAAGTATGTGTGGGTGTAAGTCGAAATTGTTCTAGTCGAAATTGTGGACACCAAAACTGTGATCTTTTGTTCGCTGGATAGCATTTTAACAGATCATTTAATTGGTACATCTCAATTAATCTGCTTATTCCCCAATTAATCAATTAAACTCTACCTGTTGTTCAGTAACGTGGTTGTGCTGAGCGAAGGGGGTTGTGGGCCTATATCCGTCTTGTTTTCCGTTACTCATTGGCTCGTGTGTGGCGTACGGCGATCTAGAGTAACGCTGACTGAAACATACCCGACTACATTTAGCCACGGGTGGAGTTGTGCCGGTGATCAGTGATCGGAGACAATGACGGTGACGCTGTTACAGTACAAGTGACAAACTGGTGACAAACTGGTGACAAACCTCCAGCTGGGTTACGTTCAGCAGCTTATAGGAGGTTGGTCAGCTGGCTCGCATTAGGAGCCGACTGGATATCGGGCCGATTTTCCAGCTGTTCCGGTTTCAAAATCTGCCGGACCTGGATCAGCAAATTACAAAGATGAAAATTGATTCAGTTAACCAGCTTTAACTAATTATGTTTTATTTAGAAGTTGTTACTGAGAAGGGATCATTTGTTATTCAAAAAGGAGAGGATCATGTTCGAGGGGGTAATTTAGGATGGATCAGAGGGAGTACTACTACTACTATGTCGGAACTAAGTCCGATCTACGCCAGATAACCCCCTCCATATATCGCATTTCCCGGTCCCGCATCAGGGTGCGCAGTTCCTCTTTAGAGTTTGTCCCAACTTCCTTCAGTAACATGGACAAGTAGCTTTGTCTTGGTCGGCCAGGATGGATCAGAGGTAGTACTGCTACTACACTCACTACAGCTATCAGAGGGAGTAATGTTTGCCAAACTGCTGGTTAGCTGATTAGCCCCACTCATTGTTCATTACTTGTACGAATCATCTCTAGCCGCTTCTGATTTATTAAATTGCCCCGAATCTGATTTCCTCAAAAATTAAGAGTCTGAGGTATAAAACTGTTTTGCTCATGATCCGGATCCTGTATACACGTGAAGTGAAGCAAGAAATAGACGTAGGCTGTTCCTCTTGAAACTCCGGGATCATAGCTGCAGTGTCGTCATCTTTGTGAACTCTTGTAAAAACTTCCGAGTACCGGAGACTCAAACAAACATATATAAAAAACTGGCGAGAGAAACAGGAAAAAAGTCTGTTCAAGTATAACTTTCAGAGCTTAAGATGATCTGCACATTTGGACGCGCGAGAATTGCGCGTTTTTAACTTTAAGGTAGAAACACCCGGTAAATCATATGATAATATCACGTGATATGATAAATAAAAGATTTTATGAGATCTGGGCCCAGTCAACCAGATACTATATTGCTGATCTGGTCCGGTCTGGTCCAGTCTGAACTTTTTGATCCGGTCGGCTCCTACATGCATTGAGGAGCAGTGTCAGCGGTGCATTAAACTTTTTCAGCAAGATAAGAACAGCTAAGTTTCATGCGTTAAATGAGCTTATGAGAATGAAGTAAGGATTTAACAGGGCTACACGATCACAACTCCACCAAAACACCAAATAGTCAGGTATGTTATACTCAGATAGAATTATAGGTAATGTTAATTTGTTCGAAGTTAGCTTCAAGTTAGAATCTATAATCAATGGGACTTTAATACTAAAAATGTATTACTCAATAATTAGATATTTAATTAATTAACAGTTTTTAATTGCGTGCTTATGATATTCACAGAGACCAAGTCATAAAGACTACATTTTCTTTTATAAAATCTACACTCTACATTATATAAGTACATATATGCTGACATGAGTTAAATTTAACTCAGGATTGAATGTGCTGAATGCTTTGTAAAAATTGAATTGTTCACATTCTGACATGGAGAAGACATGCACGCAAAGATCACGATTGCACTAAAGCAGAACAAAAGAAATAAAGCAGCTAAGCGGTTCAAGTTACACTGGTGTTTAAAATCAACAAAACATAATGGCAGTTACAGCGGTTTTAGAAATTATTCGTTACGAACATTAAGTTTCAGTTGAGCGTCAATTTAAAGCCTGAAATCTTCAGACAAAAAGAGAAACTCACCCCTAAACGATAAACTAATAAACATGCAGTGGGTATCATTTAAATCATCATTCAGAAATGCACATAGATAGATAAAGAAGCATTTGCTTCGCCCCACGACGAAGAGCACAGCATACTCACTTAGAGATACCGTTAGAGACACGTCTAGGAGTTGAGGGAGGTGGGGTATTATCGAACACAGAGGAGCGTGTTTTGTTGCGCCGCGCACTGGCAGGTCGGATAAACTCTATAGAGGCCCGGCAGTGTACCTGGAGGGGAATTGAGGGTGAGTTCGGGATGAAATAATGGGATATGTTATAGCGGTTTATTATTACAGGTCTGTGTTATCAGGTCTTTCCGTGGCGAGTTGGCGGTACATGCCTCTACTACAATTGTTCTTCGACATAATACATATTTGTATGAATGCGGTGAGAGTTAAATTAACTTACTTCTTGACTCTTGGATCCCGCAAAACTCTCTTTGATTGGAGTCTCCTCTTTTATCTTTTGAACCCTCTTTTTGGGAGGTGTTCCCTCAGCCGAGATATTCAGAGTTTCAGTCATAGTATCAGCAGGTGTGAATTCGTATCTGAAATAAAACGGTTTACAGCTCACTTTAATGCTTGTAGAATTTTAGTCGCAAATTCTAATGCGTCATTTGCAAGTGTTTGTGGTTAGTGGTCATTATTTCGAGCTTGAAATGGACTTGAGTTCTTTTTTTTGAGAAAAACATTGGGAATTTGATTGATTTTAGCTGATTGGTAAAGGGGACACTTGGAGAAGAGGAATCGTAGGCTTTCAATTTTCTGATGATTTTTGAAAACTTGCTTCTTTTCCCGATCAATTTCCAAGTGCAATATTACATTCGAAAAGAATCAGGGTTTTCTCTGTGCATAACTCACTGGCTACCTATTGGTAGATGAAGATACTATCTCCCTTTAGCGAAGGATACTATCTCCCTTGCTTCATCTCATTCTCACACAACACACAACACACACCTCACAACACACATCTGAGATATTGAGACGGTTCGGGTGGTATTATAGAGATTATATTAAAATATTATATGTACAAGAATTGGGTCCTTTAGGCTTTCTGAAGAAGACCTTAGTCTAATTTATAATTGTATTTCATGGAAGTTAAATATATTATCTTCTAGGAAGAAGCACCGGACCAGACTGAATTGGAAGAATTTGTTAGATTAGTCTAACTTAAAGTTGTATTAAAGTATAGTGTTTAAATCTAAATAGTCTAGTATAATATTATGATTCTAATAAGTAATAACTCATTTTAAGTATCTAATCCAAGTAATTTTGAGTAAAATATTAGAACAATTATTTCTAGCACAGTTTAGTGTTGTTTTGTATAGACTATAGAGTGGTCTAGTATGGCGTAGTTTAATTTAGAAAAGTCTAACTTTGAATCCAGTCCATAAAAAGTCTAACTTTGAATGCAGTCCATAAAAAAGTCTAACTTTGAATCCAGTCCATAAAAAAGTCTGACTTTGAATCCAGTCCATAAAAAATCTGACTTTGAATCCAGTCCATAAAAAAGTCGGACTTTGAATCCAGTCCATAAAAAAGTCTGACTTTAAATCCAGTACATAAAAAAGTCTGACTTTGAATCTAGTAAAGTCCATAGAAATAGTCAAAATTCACCCCGCGGCAGACTTACGATACTTTTCTGTCAGGTTCCATAGCTGGAGGGGGTGCTTGCTCAGGCTGCAGAACATCAACAACACTGACACTCATATCTTAGCTACAAGAAACTGTCAGAACTGCGTAACTTAAATAATAAATACGCGTGAAAATATTCCTGAATCTTAAAACGGTTACTGAAGTTTCGCGGCTGAACTTGATTAATAAAATAAGACCAGCTTTAACGTCACAGCACAAAATAAATGTAACAAATATGTAGGGACACTAACCAAAATGATTAAGGATGTTTCAATTTAACTATAATTAAATCTAATACACACAAAATTAAGTGTACAAAAAAAGGTTCACAACAGAAATTATCATCAACCATTACAAATAAATAAAACATTAAATAAGTCCCCCTAGTTCTTAACGTACCAGGGAGCTACCAATTCAAATAAACGGTAAATTATATAATTGTGACATTGACAAACCTCACGTAACTTAAATCACAACAATAGAGGACAGTAACGTGTACATGTTCTCCTTTTCAATGTGCTGGTCCAGGCTAAAATCACGGAAACGCGTAATAATAATTGTGTTGTGTGATAAGGTGACCACAAGCTAACAAACAACACGAGACAAGAGTTGACACAAGCAGTGAGGCCAGTACAGGAGTACTGCGGAGTTTATAATTAACAGTGTGGTGATTTGGTTGGAACTATAAAACTTGTGTATTTGTATTGCAGACTGTAGGAGGGAAGCTGGGAGGATGTTGATATAATAACATCGCACATATCAGTTAACTAGAACCTTGTTGGTGTTGTATCATGTGAATGATATGTCCTTCACGATTTATTTAGGCCGTCACATAAGAACATGAACAGGGGTTTTAGTCAAAAGATGTGGCAGCTTATCAACGAAAATATGGGAAATAAGCAAAATATGGGAAATAATAAATTGTGTGCAGCATAATATTGGGCGAATATTTCTCGTTATATTGGCGATGATGGAGCTATCTTAAATACATAATCTTGTGTCCTCAAGTTTATTGATACCACTATGCAGTGTGTAATATCGGACTATACATATCAGTTGCTTAATATGTTATACCTGACTGCATTAACAAACTTATTATTTAAAATCTTGTGATATATTCTTATGTTGTCTGAACTATTCCCTAAGTAAAACTTACAAGCAAGTTTGCGTGTATTAAAACGTTCTCATGAGTCAATATTAACGAACAGTTTTAGACGGAGTACATAATAAGTTTAAAAGCATTATATTTATATTTTCATAATATAGATTTATAAATACTAGTTCTAATATTATTAAGAATCGATCTACGTCGTGAGTGCCGATCTGGATAATACCAAATATAATAAAAGTAATCAATATCTACATAATGGTTAATGGCTGTTTTAAAAAAGGTGTTTTAGTACAAAAAGCTAGACAAAAGAAAGATGGGGATTGGAATTTGGAACGCACTCAAATAAACTTACACAACATTATGCTCCGTCAGTAATCCATCCTATAACTAAATTATTTGTTTTATAGTTAACATTATGTATTAAAACTTATTTAACAACTCTTTTCTAAGAATAATTCGGATTATAGTGCACGATATATTTTATCTCACGTGGGCTTCAAAAGGAATGATCTAAGCTTTAGATTATTTAACAAATAGATAATAATAGGCTTCCTTGTCATTCTATTTCAACATCGACTTCCAGATTAAGCTTGATGATGCTTGAAAATTATTTAACAATCCTTGTTTAAGAAAAATACAGATCACAGTGCACGATATATTATATCCCACACTTGAGATAACTTAACGAAAAGATATTAATAGGCTTCCTTTTCCACATTGACTTCCAGATTTAGCTAGATGATGCTTGAAGGTTTAAAAACTATATAAATAGCAGTAACGCGACAAGCACAGCAGCGACTGAAATGACTTGAGCACAGCAGCTTCTAGCTCACCAAGTTCTAAAATGTAAACAGTCTTTAAGTAGATCGAGAAGTTCGTTATAGTTTGTAGTAAGATTCTAGAACCTACTACAGATACACTCAATATAACAGTTTATAGGCTAAGAGAGACATGATCCTAAACACCACAGTACTTGATGATCATAATGGCTCTATTAGATATGTAATCATGTATCTCTTCGTGTCCAAAAGCATTATAGATATGTAATCAATAATGATGCGTCCGGGAAGCAAGTAAAGTGTCCGTGTGGTTTTAAAAGTGTTGATGAATAAAACGCATGCTCACCGATTCTGACTCCTGAAAATCACTTAACTTACTATACATAGCAGTGACACAAGTCCCCATCTAGTTGTATCCAGAACTGTTAACAGGGTGAAACAGGGTGAAACAGGGTGAAACTAAGCTTCTCGGTGAAATCAGCGAGGAAATATCAACCCTGTACAAAGCCTTAACAATCAAACAACGTTCAGCGGTAGATTCTAACTTTGCTGTTACAGTCAAAGCAAATGTGAACCCTTTGGTAAGCAAACTTAAACATGATTACTCTGTAATGAAAATGACATATAGCAGTCTAAAATATCAAATTACACTGTTAAATATTGTCAGAGTATGCGGAAAATACAACAGTTTTCAAGTTAACATACACTGCAGCATTTCAATCCGAGATGGGAAGTTTAACTGTAAACATGAACGACGTAACTTAGTAACGAACCAACATTAAAGATTTACAAAGCCAGGTTTGATGATTATTGTAATCAATCATAAATATACAGCCCCCGTGCCCTAGGATACCCTTCATAAAGGAACTAACAACAGAAATATGATACGTAACTTTACGGATCTTATGTCAATTTATCTCGATGATCATTGGCAAACGTTTTATAATTCATCAGAAACTCTCTGTAGGAATGTAACTTGGATTAGAGGTCACGGTTACTGTAAGCATCCAATCTCAATTAAGTATATATTTTTTAGAAACCCATATAAAATGTTAGGTTTAAACCCTGAACCCTAAATTAAAATCTGCACCCTTATAATATCTACTTAGCGTGTACTAATTTACATGACCCTTACTATAAGAGTAAGACAAACTTACTTTTTATCACAAGAGATATAACAGATATATTTAAGTTACATAAATTTAAATAACTTTAGCTGTAGCACGTGCAATGATAACGGAGACATACAGTTTCTACTATACTATATCAGGAGCAGCAAGTAGACCAATTATTTCATTACCAAACTATTAAGTGATTAAAAGCTTGCACAGTCCATCTTCTAGCAAATACCGGCGGGTAGTAGCACATAAGAGATGTCAAGTTTCTTCCTACTATACCTGATCTACTGTTTATCAGAGATTAGCTCGTGCTTTGTGGTCAAAATGCGGTTATTGAGGGTTATTAAGGGTTATATTGATTGGAATTACCGGCCAAATATTGAAAGTATCAGATCACATCTGGGCTGTCTGCGGCCGCTAAGTGGTAGTCTGTGTCTTATAATCCTACTGATATGAAGAAGTGTTCTTTTAAATCGTAGTACTAATTTGGAATTAATGGTGAGCATAAATAGCCTAAAATGTTTGAGGTAGTGACATAAAGACCATTCACCAATGTCAAAACAGGAAATAATACGCATGCAATTGCAATCTTCAGTTTTCTGCTATAAGTAGCAGTACTGTTACTGTAAACAAATAATGGAAGGTGGTCACTTCGGTCCTAATTTAAACCGAAAGAAAAACGTCTACAACTAAAGGAAGTTTCCAAGGCTGCAATTTGCATATAATACATTATAAATTTTGAGCTGTTATCGCAGGTGGAAAGTATGATATTACTAGTAAGTACGATTAGTGTGATCTTAGCATGTAATCTAATATTTATTTAATTCTGGGACCTTCTCCAAAGTTAATTAAGCACGTTGAGCTCGAATTTTCTTCAATGTTTTGTAAAACTTTAAATTTAACGT